TTCATGGGATCAACCAGCGATACTCTTCATGGGATCAACCAGCGATACTCTTCATGGGATCAACCAGCGATACTCATGGGATCAACCAGCGATACTCCTAATGGGATCAAACCAGCGACACATCTGGGGGATCTGACCCTTTAATATTCTCGCGCAGTGGATATAATCACGTGAGATCACCTCGGTTAGGGTCCGTGTGGGGCGCTAGTATTCCCACAGTGGCTGGCAATGGTGGACCAGCATCAGTAAGTAGTCCAACACGCCCTTGAGCAGGAGGTCGAACATAAGGACCCTCACATACTAACTGGGATGGCGGCCCACCTGAACTCAAGTGGATGCGGACCTGCCTAGTATTTCCGTGTTTAACCTACCATGACTAGGACTACCAGGTTAGGCATCATTTTAGTGGCCATGTTTCTCATTGGAACACACGAAGAAAAGCTAGAGGCCAGTATTATACTGTACAAATCCCTCACATTGTTCGACGCTTCGCTGAACTTAGCTTTATGTAAAGAGAAAATAAAGATCCTACAACATCATAAACTAAAATGTTACTATGCATATTATACACTAACTTGCAAAAGCGGTGTCCGGGTGGTGCACTCTATTTTAATATCGTGGATCCTCTAATATCACTGGGAAAGACTAGCTGAGCTATTCTGCTGAGTAATTTATACATGAGACGTGAAATTCTCGTAAAGCATTTTCAATCAAGGAGAGAGGAATTATATGGTGGAAGATGCATTTTTGTTATTACCGTACTTATAGTATATGCTCTATAAAATCCCTAGTAACCGCCTGACCACATCTGGAATGGCCTTCTGAATCAGAAACGCCCGCTTAATATAAGCCTTCGCACTCAGATGTTATTATGGAGTCCAGAGGAAATTATCACATGTAAAATTGAAGGTGATCTCGCTGACTGATTGTGGAAACTTTCTGATAGCCGTATTATAAGGGTAGGTCTACAGTAGTACCGCATTCAGTCATATAGTCTCTTTAGCATCACACATCCTATGGACTCGGAACTTATCCTGCTAATGTATGGAAAACTATTTTTTTGAGGATGCAAAATATCCATCCCCCAATTTTTTTTTCGCTGCTTGTTACGTAACTGAGAAGTCAGGTATAAATAAATATATATAGGAGTATATTCTATCGTGATTCAATTACCGGTCACCAGCCAACTACGGCATATGTGAAGCCCGAGGAAGCATATTCCTTCGATATCTACACAGAAATCGACAATTCGAAGGTATCTGTTCGTTTTTGATTTCCTCTTTCTCTTCCAGTCTAAGGCTAGTACAGTATATTATACATTGCTCCAGCAACAATGAGAAAGCTGTTGAGACTGGCCCTTGCTGCGGTCTCGTTGGCAGGTATATCCATTGCTGACAACTTCACCACGACTTGTAATGGGTATTACCTTGAAGACGATCATATTTTGCATGCAACCTGTACAGCGAAGAATAATGTGGCAAACCAGAGACAACTTGATTTGAATGGTTGCCTCGCAAATTTGGATGGCCAGTTAGGACTTGTTGCAAAGTATGTACGCACCTTACTGTATTAGGTTGAATGAGCTCACACCGATCAGGGGAAACGCATTTGCCACATGTGTCCACGGCTGTGGCCTTTGCTTTTTAGAAGGAGAGAAGCTTACGTGCTCATGCCGAAGGAGCGACATGCGCAGTGTGACATTCAATACACTCGACTTAGGTCAGTTCGGTTCAACCTTCGGGTAACATATGGCTTACTGATAGTGTGTAGATGTTATCGTTATGAATCAGGATGGGAAGCTGTTATGTAACCTGTAGGTATTAAGTATCTTTTATTTTCAAAGGTACTGTACTAGGAGAACTATAAGAAAGCGTGGGAGGTAAGATAACACCGTGAGATATATTGTAGGAGAATGTTGTATGGAACTCAGGAGCATATGCATCACATTATAGTATATTTATTACACTCAACTATATGTTGTTTTCTTAGTTATCCGAGAAAGCATAGTTGTAGCAATAACTGCAATGTTCCATGTTTTCCCATTTTCTAAGAGAACCAGCCTGCAGAATTGTGTATCTGCCTCATAGGGTGTCAGTCAGTTGTTGCTCAAAGCACAATCGACTAGCGACACTGTAGAGACATGAAAATAAACGTACAGCATGCGGGTCAACTGTACCCTCACAAGCTCGTCAGATATATTCTTCTATTTTTTACCGCAGCTTTGGGGACGAATCTTAGTTAGCTAAACCTGCTTACCTATGTTTATAACGCCCAGTTGTAATGCAGAGATTGTAGGGCAACTTCACATGGCATTGTTGGGATTCGAGAAAGCATGAGACGCTAATTTCTGGATGCGTACCCTGCAGCCAAGTGTGATCCTCCTCTACTGGTACGGTATCGATTGATAAATGATTTCACTTCACCCGGCCATCGTAAATAAAAGCGGTATGCAGTCTACTACAACTATATCTCTACCTTTGTATCTCGATATTATATGATCCCTTTTGTCTTACGGGCAAGCTTTAAGCCTCCTTTAGGGGCCTATGTTGGCCAATGCCACCATTTCAGTACACCGGGGCCCTTTAATCCGCAGTTACGAAGTCTTTGAGATACTTCTGCAAGATTCTTTACAGCCTTCATGATGCTGGCTTCTTATTTCACTCCTTGCATGGCTGATATATCACCGAATGCTCCTCTAATAACTTTGCGCAATTTTTGTCGTGGAATATTCAATACTGGATAGTCAAGCAAACCATGGGTTATTGTTTCCTTTGCCCCACATTCATGTTTACTGTATCGTCTTAAAACCTATAAAGCCTACCGTATGGTGCGAGCCAGTACTAACTAGTCCGCAGCTGGGTGAGTAGATAGTCACGGTTTTCGCAGCCACAGGCTATGTAATTATCGAGTGTAATGGATAGCAACTTCGTGTCGGCACAGTGAAGGCGTCTTCATTCGCGTTCCCACCCTTGGATGGCTACCGTTTCTTATAATGTGGTAGGAAGGGTGGGTTTGTATGGCCCATGTTAGTTTGGCTACTATTGGTATAGAACTTGTCAAAATCAGTTTCTGAAATAGGCTCTTCGAGAGTATCCCCGAAACCTGGATGCTAAGCCACACTAAAGCATACAAAAGTTGTATTAAATTATGCAAGGTCTTTTTACCGTGTTATGCAATGACAGTTGCGTGATTCAGTTACTGTAGCAGGACATGTACAAGTATCATATAATTCTTTTATGTTTCAACGTGGATCGGTGTTCAGGGTTCCGGACTACTATCGAAGAGCATATTCCGAAAGCTGATCTCAAAAGTTCTCTAGAAGTGGGTGTGTCATACAGTCCTTTATGCGAAATGTCATGGTGGTCGACACACTCGCGAGAGAGAGATAGAGGGATACAGGGTGTCCGGAAACTGGTGTCACCACTTATACTCTTTGATTGTTTCAACAACCCTACCATGAAACAACGCTAAGCCCATTTAAGATACTATGTCGGAACATAGTTCTCCCGCGTATGTATCGTAAAATACCAGCAGGTATCATAACCACTATATTTTACCATGCGACAGCGTCCACGTGTTATCCAGGTATTCTGCCTGGATAATGACCTTGGTCATCAAGCACTACATAGTACAACTCAGAATGACCCCTAATCTAGCTTGATAAACGCTCAGCCTTATCCAGCATATATTGAAGTCTGGTGAGCTACTTCCAGATGGCGAAACTGCTGGGTGTCGTAAACGCACAATTATCCGACCGACTACGCGCTAATCTTCCAATTCTTAATAGTCCCAGTGTTCAAATTAAAGGAGAAAGTTCGTGGGATATCACACTCGTAATGCTGGAGACTTTATACAACGTTCTACTTAGAAAGCCAGTTTTTACCTTCATATGAACGTTTTAAGTAGACGAACACGATATTTACGTATCGATGCTTGGTGTCAAAGACAAAAATGATGATAGTAAAATCAATGGTTGCTCAATGGTAGACAAGTTCCCACGGTGTATGATATGTGTCAAACAATCAATAACCGTGATATGCAGTATTTTGTGCATGTCGCAATGGGTACGTATCCATGATTATAATTGGTTACTCTTGCTGATCATACTAGCCCCGCACCGACAACTCATCACACCCCTCGAGCAATAGTTCTTGAATGCAACACCCAGGAATGATATTTCTTGTATATTCTTTATTTCCACAATTCACTAACAACGCATTCGCACACCCGTTGGAAAGTGGACCATGGCCGAGCCTCAAAAGTTCTCCCATAGCGATTACACCGTTGGCTGGATATGTGCCTTGCCAGAGACCGAGTTGGTGGCCGCTATGGCCATGTTGGAGGAAAAACATCCTATTCTTCCAGCAGCCGATCCGCACGACGCGAATACCTATGCCCTTGGTCGGATCGGTGACCACAATGTGGTCATTGCTTGCCTGCCAGCAGCAACAACAGGCAAAGTATCTGCTGCTACTGTGGCCAAAGATATGATCCGCAGTTTTCCAGCTGTCAGATTTGGATTGATGGTTGGAATTGGCGGTGGGGCGCCATACTATGGTGTACAGAGGAATAGTAACTTCAGGGGAGCTCAAGCAGAGGACGATGATTCGGATGATTCTGATAGCGACGCTGAAGATATACGAGATATACGGCTCGGTGATGTGGTGATAAGCCTTCACTCAAAATCGTCGGATGCTGTTGTGCAGTATGATTATGGGAAATCACTACAGGGAAAAGAATTTGTACGTAGTGGTGGTAAGCTAAACAAGCCTCCTAACATTGTTCTGGGCGCTGTCGGGCACCTCAAAGCGCAGCACGAGTTAGAGGGACACAAAATCTGCGAGAGATTATTGGAATTGGTTTCAAAACATCCAGGAAATGCGACGGAAATTCCAATATCCAGGGTCTAGAAAGGACTGTCTCTTCAAGTCAACCATTATTCACACAGAGGGAAAGAGGTCGTGTAAGAATTGTCGCGGACCCCAGGACAGTAACCTTGTGAGGAGAAAAGACCGGCCTGATAACTCGCCTCGATTACACTATGGGACCATTGGGTCAGCAGATCAAGTGATGAAAGACGCTATCCTAAGAGATAGATGGGCCCGGGAGGAGAGCATACTGTGCTTTGAAATGGAGGCTGCTGGTGAGTGACGTGCAACTCAGTCCATCGTAATATCTGGAAAGTCCAGCGTCTTACAATTACCCAGGGCTTATGGACTCATTTCCCTGCCTTGTTATCCGAGGCATCTGTGACTATGCCGATTCCCATAAGAACAAGATCTGGCAACCATATTCTGCGGCGACGGCAGCGTTATATGCAAGGGAACTTCTTCTGGTTGTTTCGGGACAGGGAGTCATAAATATGGATCCGATTAAGCAGAGTATGTAACGCTCAACTGTATTTTCTGTTTGCTCTTTTACTATTTTAGTAGGATAACCTATTAATTGGTTCTATAGTCGAGAAATCTATAAGGGAAGTGCATTGTGTTGTTGAAGACACAAGTGCTACAGTCCAGACCCTGAGCATTGACAGCAAGCACAGAAAGGTCTTTGACAAACTGCCATATGTAGAAGGCTCGAGTTTTGATGCCTTTGACGCAGAACATGACGCAAGGTGCCATCCAAAAACAAGGGTTGAATTACTTCGCTGCATCCAGGAGTGGGCAGGGGATCCAAGCCAAAAATGTATATTTTGGTTGAATGGGATGGCAGGAACCGGAAAATCAACAATTTCGCGAACAATAGCACAATTCTTCAAGAATGAGGGCCAATTAGGGGCTAGCTTCTTCTTCAAACGCGGAGAGCGTGGCCGCAGCTCTGCCAGGATGTTCTTCACCACTATTTGCGTGCAGCTTCTGCTTCACGTTCCTGCTTTGGTTCGTCACATCGAAAGAGCAATTGACACCGACCCCTTTATATCGGATAGATCAATGAAAGAACAATTTGATAAATTGATCCTCCAACCACTACTTTGTCTGAATGAAATTGAATCGAGAACTATCATTCTCGTGATCGATGCGTTGGATGAATGCGAAGAGAAAGATAATATACAAGCTATACTTCAACTCTTGCCGCAGGTACAGATTCACGAATCTATATGTCTCCGAATATTCTTGACAAGCAGACCTGAACTTGCAATCCGGCTTGGCTTTAAGCAGAATGATACCTATCAGGATCTCGTCCTCCATGAGCTTCCTATGCCCATAATCAAACGTGATATCCATCTATACTTGGAAGACGAGCTTTCTAAAATCCGTTATGAACGTTCACTGTCGTCTAGCTGGCCTGGTAACGAAGTTATTGAAGAGTTGGTACAGATGGCTGTTCCATTATTCATCTTCGCGGCCACAGCATGTCGCTTTATCAGAGAAGGGACCTATCCAAAATGGCGTCTCCAGAAACTTCTTGATTTCCAATCGAACACATCTGCATCTCAGATGGACAAAATATACCTGCCAGTTCTAAGTCAACTTAGGATAAATGAAGAGGATGACTCAAATGAGCTTCTCAGAGCATTTCAGGACATAGTTGGGGCTATTATTCTGCTTGCTGACCCACTTTCTGTTAAATCGCTTGGAGAGCTTCTTCGGATTCCGGTAGAAGATGTCACGCAGCTATTGGATCCTTTGCATTCAGTTCTTAACGTCCCAAGCAATATGCATACCCCCGTCCGAACTCTACACTTATCATTTCGCGATTATCTCCTGATCACGACAAGTCCTTTCCATATAGATGAGAAAGATACACATGCGAAAATAGCTTTACATTGTCTTTATACGATGAATACTTGTCTGAAACACAATATTTGTGGCTTAGCAAGTTACGGAACGCAACGCAAGGATATCGATCCTCAGATTATCAACCAGTACCTTACAGCTGATCTTCAATACAGCTGCCGCTACTGGGTATATCATCTAGAACAGAGCCAAGGTCGTATTTACGGGTGTGAAATTCTCTCTTTTTTGAAAAGGCATTTTCTTCACTGGTTAGAGGCATTGGCCCTAGTTGGAAATATATCCATCGCAGTGGAGGTAATAAATGTATTAATATCAAGTACATGGGTGAGTCTTTTTAAACTCTATAGCTAAATACTGGCTAAAACGTGTGAAAGATAAGTAGTGGTGCTGAGATTTCAGACTTTCTCTATGATGCAAAAAGGTTTATTCTTCAAAATACTTATATAGCTGGTATTGCTCCACTTCAACTCTACAGCTCCGGATTGGTATTCGCACCTGTCCAAAGTATTATGAAAATGACTTTTTTTAGCGAAATGATAAGACAGATACAAACTCTACCAGTTTTGGAGGATTCTTGGAGCCCGAGCTTACAGACGCTCGAGAGCCATTCGCGTGCGGTCTGGTCAGTGGTCTTCTCACCCGATGGGCGCACTCTGGCGTCAGGCTCGTCCGACAAGACTATTAAGCTCTGGGATACAACAACTGGTACAGAGAACCAGACATTCAAGGGCCATTCGCATAATGTTACATCAGTGGTCTTCTCTCCCGATGGGTGTACTCTAGTATCAGGCTCGTCCGATAGGACTATTAAGCTCTGGGATACAACAACTGGAATAGAGCTCCAGACCCTCGAGGGCCACTTAAGATCAGTCCACTCAGTTGCCTTCTCACCCGATGGGTGTACTCTGGTATCAGGCTCAAACGACAATACTATCAAGCTCTGGGATACAACAACTGGTATAGAGCACCAGACGTTCAAGGGCCATTCGCGTACAGTCTTGTCAGTGGTCTTCTCACCTGATGGGCGTACTCTGGCGTCGGGCTCGCACGACAAGACTATCAAGCTCTGGGATACAACAACTGGCACAGAGCGCCAGACACTCGAGGGCCATTTAGGTCAGGTTAATTCAGTAGCCTTCTCGCCCGATGGGCGCACTCTGGCGTCAGGCTCGTCCGACAAGACTATTAAGCTCTGGGATACAACAACTGGCACAGAGCGCCAGACATTCAACGGCCATTCGCATACGGTCTGGTCAGTAGCCTTTTCGTCCGATGGACATACTCTGGCGTCAGGCTCACGCGACAAGACTATCAAGCTATGGGATACAACAACTAGGATAGAGCGCCAGATATCCAAGGGCCATTCGGATTCGGTCTGTTCAGTGGTCTTCTCACCCGATGGGCGCACTCT